AATGAACCACCAACTTATCCAGCACATGTTTTACGCAGCGGATGCCCTTCCAGCTGCAACTCATCACTGGGAAACATCCATACACACTCATTTACACACATGCACTACGGTAAATTTTTAGCACACCCAATTCACCTATACCACATGTCTTTGGACTCGTGGGGGAAACAGGAGCACCCAGAAGAAACCCACGCGAATACGGGGAGAACATGCAAACTCCACACAGAAACACAAACTGACCCAGCCGAAGCTCGAACCAACAACGTTCTTGCTGTGAGGCGATCCTGCTACCCACTGCGCCACCGCGTCACCCACAAAATTGTTATTATTATTATTATTATTATTATTATTTCATTATTACTATTATTATTATTATTATTACTATTATTATTATTATTATTATATAATTATTTATTTGATTTTATTATTTTTAAAAAGAAATTAAATGTTTACATATATTTTATTTTATAATTATTACTACTAACAAAAATATTATTTTTATATATTTATTTATTTTATTTATTTTATTTTTTTATTTATTTCATTATTTTTTATTATTATTAATATTACTACTTCTACTATTATTTTTATATATTTATTAAAATTTTATTATTATTATTATTATTGTGGTTGTTTTTTATTTTTTAAGTCTTAAATACTTTTTAGTCTTTAAATACTTTTTATGGTTATTGTTAATTTTATTTACTTATTTATTTACTTTGTGTGTAGTATACATGTACCTGTTTACTTAATTATTTTACAGGTCTATTCTTGTTGTCTTTTTATATATTGTATTGTTGCTTTGGCAATATCGTATAATTTATGCCATTTTAATTTAAATTTGAGAGAGAGCGAGAGAGAGAGTTTATATCTCCATATACACCAACACCTGCTGGTAAACTCATGATTGTATTAGCTGATGTGTCTGGGTTTCATAGAAGCGTCTAATGGGTGGAGAGGAAGATCACAGCTGTCAATCAAGATAAGAGCCTTATCACATACATGCACACGCACTCTAACACACACATCACTTACGGGAGTCGTTCAGATGATGCTGTACCTGCTGAAGCGGCCGAAATCTGAACAGCCACATGTAAAGCTTTCTCTTGCTCTCTCTCTCTCTCTCTCTCTCTCTCTCTCTCTCTCTCTCTCAATTCGATTTAATTCTTTTTTTTTTGGCTTAGTCACTTTATTCATCAGGGGTCCCCACAGTGGAACGAACCGCCAACTTATCCAGCATATGTTTTACACAGAGGATGCCTTTTCAGCCACAACCCAGTACTGGGAAACACCCATATACACTCATTCACACACACACACACTCATACACTACAGCCAGTTTAGTTGATCAGTTCTCCTAAAGCGCATGCGTTTGGACTGTGGGGGAAACCGGAGCACTCAGAGGAAACCTACACCAACACAGGGAGAACATGCAAACTCCACACAGTAGCACCAACTGACCCAACCAGGACTCGAACCAGTGTCCTTTCTGCTGTGAGGCCACAGTGCTGATCACAGAGCCACCGTGCCACCTCTACTGTATATTCATTGTATAAACAAACACAATTAATCTTTGTTGAAGCTAAAAACTGGAACATTTCTTTTGCCCAAACGGTTTAAATCATAATTATAATCCCAACTCAACATTGCAGATACAGCGATGTGACTATCGCAGATTCACACATTGCAATACTGATGCTGAAACCATATGGTGCAGTCCTAGTGTCTGGTCCTCTGTTTGATTCAGGTCACATTTTACATACCCGCTGTTTTCTAGGTGTAAGGGTGTTTCCCAGAACTTGGTTGCAGCTGGAAGGGCATCCGCTGTATAGAATAAGCTGGAATAGTTGGCGGTTCATCCCACTGTGACGACCCCTGATAAATAAGGGACTAAGCTGAAGGAAAATGAATGAATGAATGAATGAATTTTCCTTAGGAGCCCAGGATTTCTCTCTCTCTCTCTCTCTCTCTCTCTCTGTGTGTGTGTGTGTGTGTGTGTGTGTGTTCATTGAGACAGATGTGCTCTTTATGATATGTAATTCTCAGCGTTATCCTCCAGAGAAATGAAATAAAAATGAGTTAGCTTTGCTATTTTTACTCAGTCAGGGAAAATGAGCTATAAAAATGTATTTGCACGTTCTGCTCCTTTGATCATTTTAAGGTGCCGCTGTATAAATTCTGCTGAATTCTGAATTTATGGGATTGATTCTGTGTTTAAAGGAATGTGTTTCACCTTCATCTCTTTCTTCATCATTTTTTTTCTTTATTTATTAAATGAGATTTATTTTCAGCAGAATGTCTAGTCTTCTGTTTTAGCTATTATGTTTTAAAGTGGATAGTGTAATTAATGAAGTCGGTTAATTTGCTTTTCGGAATTGTCACTGATTCACATGTAATCACGAGTATATTAATGAACATTTAGACAATGAAGGTTCCATATTTATTTTATTATTGTGCTGCTTTCATTTCTATATATTTTGTTAAAATATTGTAATAGATAACTGTAATTTCTTTAATATTATTTGTTATTTATTATTATTTTGTAATATTATATTTCATTATTTAATTTTTTTCATAATAATTACGTTAAAATAATGTTTATATATTTAATAATAATTTTAAAAATACATTTTTGATATATTTAACTTGAACCTTTAGTAAATTTAATTTAGATTTAGTAATTTAGTTTCCATAGAATGATTTTCGTTCCAGTTTACATCTTCAACTCATTTTTCAATTCTTAATTGAAATACACACACTGGCCACTTTATTAGGTACACCTGTCCAACTGCTTGTTAACAAAAATATGTAATCAGCCAATCACATGGCAGCAGCTCACTGCATTTAGGCATGTAGACATGGTCGAGACGATCTGCTGCAGTTCAAAGTGAGCATCAGAATGGGGAAGAAAGGGGATTTAAGAGACTCTGAACGTGACATGCTGTTGCTGCCAGATGGGCTGCTCTGAGTATTTCAGAAACTGCTGATCTACTGGGATTTTCATGCACAACCATCTCTAGGGTTTACAGAGAATGCTCCGACAAAGAGGAAATCTCCAGTGAGCGGCAGTTCTGTGGGCGCAAATGCCTTGTTGAGGCCAGAGGTCAGAGGAGAATGGCCAGACTGGTTCCAGCTGATGGAAAGGCAACAGTAAGTCAAATAAGCACTCGCTACAACCGAGCTCTGCAGAGGAGCATTTCTGAACACACAACACGGCCAACCTTGAGGCGGATGGGCTACAGCAGCAGAAGAGCACACCGGGTGCCGCTCCTGTCAGCTAAGAACAGGAAACTGAGGCTACAATTCACACAGACTCACCAAAACTGGACAATAGAAGATTGGAGAAACGTTGCTGCTCTGATGAGTCTCCATTTCTGCTGACACATTCAGATGCTCGGCTCAGACAACATGAAAGCATGGATCATCCTGCCTTGTATCAGCGGTTCAGGCTGGTGGTGGTGGTGTAATGGTGTGGGGGAGATTTTCTTTGGATCCATTAGTACCAATTGAGCATCAACGCCACAGCCTACCTGAGTATTGCTGCTGACCATGTCCATCCCTTTATGAGCACAGTGTCTCCATCTTCTGATGGCTACTTCCAGCAGGATAACGCAGCATGTCATAAAGCTCAATCATCTCAGACTGCTTTCTTGAACATGACGATGAGTTCACTGTACTCAAATGGCCTCCACAGTCACCAGAGCTCAATCCAATAGAGCAGCTTTGGGATGTGGTGGAACAACACGTTCTCACTCCCAACTCGTCACATACTGACGCTTGGTCAGGAACCCTCGGCGTAAGTTATTGACGAACAGGGTACCCCTTTAGCGTCATATTTAGACGTGCAGGGATTCCCTATAGAATCTGTGCCTAAGCCTGAGGCGTCATAGGGAGACGCTGGAGGCTCGTATAATTACCAATAGATGTCAACGCAATTTTTAAAACCTGATTTACGCCTATTATCTTAGTTTTCTTATTTTAAAAAATGTAATTTTTATTTTGTTCAAGAAAAGCGTCTGTAAACTGGGTCGAAACTACTGTATGAATAAACTTCGGTCCACGTGACATCCCTTCACGGTGAGTTTAACGCCGCTCTGCTATTGGTCAAACTGCATCAGCGGTGAGTTCACAGATGAGTTCAACTGTCAACATTAAATAGTATGTTAATGCTTCATAATGTATTTTTATTGGAGATTAGTTGGTGTTTATAAATATGTTATCATTTACTTCATATTTAATGAGTGAAATTATATTCGGTTGCCCAGTTTAGAGTAACTATGCCTATTAAAACTTTGATTCATTCATATTATTTATTGTTTTTTTACTTTAAAAAATATTGCATTTCAAGTACTAAGTTTAAAAATGTCTTTGGCTGATATTTTTCATTTTAAATGATTCATTGAAGTTGGGTTCATTGTATGTGGCGATCTATTTTTTACAGTCTATGCTCGCTATCCCAAGGTTCATTGCGATCCCAAGGTTCACTGCGTTTTCCACAAGGTAAGTAAAAAGTAAACAAATAAAGACGATTTGTGATAAAGCATGTACTGTAAACTAGCGACGTTAACTAATTACATCAAGTTATTAAAAATATATTTTTCTCACATATAACGTTGATCATGCATTAGAACAATATATACATTTTAAGATAAGGAACAGTGTAACCAGATTGTTGTTTTCCACAATAGAATTCGTGCAAAATCTATATATAATATGCAATATGCAACTCTAATAATACAAATGTATTCGTAATTGTTTCAATATTAAAGAACATCAAGTGTTTCCAAACGTTTATTGTAAAAACAATTATTTTCCATGCCTTTAAAGGAAAAAAGGCAGAAATTTTGCCCGTCTGAGCACATTTTATTCATTTTACAACACAAAACTAAACAAAAAACAGCTTAATCTACCACACACACACACACACACACACACACACACACACACACACACATATATATATATATATATATATACAGGTGTAAATTATAAGGTGTTCACTGTTCAGATATGAATATTCTTCAGGTTCTTTAGATTTCTTTAAAAATCCAATTTTGTTTTCTAATAAGCAAAAAGTTAAATCACTTTACCCATGTTTATATGTTAAATTGCACTTGTCTCTCTCTCTATCTCTGTTAACACATTTGTATTTGTTTGATTCATTCTTGTGTCTTTCAGTCTGTTTCTGCCTATCACCATGAGTGATTCCTTGATACTCATATTTATCATCAAGATCTCAATTATAAGCTCAAGTCTTGATGACAACTTGATGATCTGCAGGAAGCACCACCATGTATAGAGGGCCAAGACCACTCTGGAATCAGTCAAGGGTTAGTGAAGTTTTTCATTCCATGTATATTAAATATCTACATTGTTTAGGCATATATGATTGTATGAGATAAAACGCATTTATTATTTCACTACTATTGTAGTAACAGAAAGAGACGCATTAGTTTTACTATTACTATTGTTTATGACAAACATTAAAAAACTACAGCATAAGCTCACAAAATATTGTGGCCTAACTGTTTAAAACTATTTGTTCTGGGTGTTGATAGTGGCCAATCATTTTTTTCTTTTTCAGAAAGTATTTTGTTTTGTCTGATTTTATGACACCTTATAGGCCATCAACTGTCCACATTGGGGTTTAGGAAATTAGAACTGCTTATGCTGCTTGTCTACTAGTCTTAGGATAAGTTAGAAATGTTATAAATGTACATTTTTTGTTGTTTTTATCTGGTACAGCTCATAGGAACTCCAATCTTCCCAACTGTGAGAGAGCCTTGCTCCAGTGACTGTCAGTGTGTACTTCATTGTTTCCATTAGTCCCTGTATCTGTAGACCCAGGTGACAGTGGGCTAGAGTCAAATTTTGTTTTTATTTAAACTAAGGCATACTGATGGCCTTTTTTATCTCAGATTTGGTCATGCAAGTATTAATATATCCTAAAATATTTTTATATTCTTTCCATTGGTGGAAAAGATGTTGGTATAATTATTTTAAATGGACTGCTAAGATCTCAGCAGACATTTTTCTGAGATATTCTTGAGTGGGAGTCTGTGCAATACAAGGTGGATAGTATTTGCAAGGAAGAGCCCTTCATCTGTCCTGCTTCCACACTAGATATACTGCCAATTTAAGTAGATATGAACCATAAGCATAACCATTTCAAGAATGCACAAGGTACTTTAAACTGTATGTGTTGAAACTAAATTTACAAGAAAACAGCTCTTTGATGTTCACCTAGTAAAATTAGATTAGAAGATATAAACTGTTATGCACTTGTTCTGTACTGTTTCATTCCTTTTTCCAAACACTGGCATTTTTGAAGGTTTATTTACAGCTAAGGATTAAGGATTGACAGGAAGATTTGTGGACTACATCAACTAATGACACTACCTCCAAAAGAGTTGCAAAAAGCTGTCCAAAGTTTCAGCACCATCTTTAAGCCCATGATTTTAGTGTGTTTTATGCCTAAGCACATGAGTTTATATCTGAGATAGATGAGCTATATGATTATCTTAAACTGATCTACAGGTAAATGCCAAAACTTATTGGTTTACTTATTTGTTTGTTTGTTTTTTTGTATATGTTAACCAGGTGAAATGGAGTGAGGCATACCAGGATATGCCTGGTTTTACTCTTGGGAAGGAGGTTGAACAGTGCAGTGTTTCTTCTCTAGGATTGCAGTGACCAGACATGCTACTGTAACTCTCATGGTCATGTGCTGGAATTAGCAGATATTCAACAATTTGGCCATCTCGCTGACCCATTGATATCAGAAGGTAACAATATCCAGTAGAATTTGTTTTAGTTGTTCTGTAACCTATTTAAATAGTATTGTGATTTTTGATTGCTTATCACTGTAGACTGTAACAGCTCTGCAAAGCAAGTTGCAAAACAGAATCCATGAAACTGGCAGTGACTGGAAACCAATTGGAAGACTTTGGTCTGTGATGTAGAGGAGTGGGCAGACGGTGAGGAAATTCTTATTAATATTACATGTAGTCATGAAAAATTGTAAGTGTTACTATTACTGTCATTTTTTCAGTAGCAGAAGCAAAGACAACAAAAAACAGAAGTGATATGGATGTCTTCATCATATGGCATGGTATGTACACTAGACTTCTGTCAGTGTTGATTCTTTAAAAGTTTACGTATAATCCTTGTTATACAACTTTCTTTTTATGAATATATTTCAGACTCTGCTGACCCAGCAACAAAGAGGAGGGTGTTCAACATCATCCTGCTAGTCAGGATTCTTCAGGAAAAGCAGTGGATTCTTGTGGCAGAGATGGCCAACCACTAGAAATACCTTTCAACTCATCCTGGTTCCTTCAAAGAACTTTCCTGCTTGTTTGCTACTGAAAAGTACTGGTATGTATTTGTATTATTTGGCTCAAACTTAAGCATAAGGTTACCCAGTCCAAATGATATTAATATATTTTTATGTTGTTGTGTTCTTCTTTTAAGATTCGACATGTGGCCTAAACGAAGAGGGGTTAAAAGGTCTATGGATCATCATTCTCAGAAAGCAACAAAATAACTGAGAAATAAACAACAATACGATGGTGCAATCTAGAGACCTGCAAGGTACCTGCAAGTTTTGGCTGGAGCAGTAAATAGACATTTTTTAAATAAAGCTCCAGCTGAAGAGTATGACATTGACTGTGGATTTTCTTTTACTGTAATCCAGAAGAGGATGACCTTAACCCTGAATCTAAAGCATGTAATAAAATCTGTAAAAATAAAATAAAATTTTCATCATCTATAACCAAATTGTTGTCTCTTTTTTTTAAATACATAGATATGTACAGTATGTAAGCATTCCTCTAAAATCAATCAGTGTTGTAAATTAAGAGCATTATTGTATGCCTAACTGCTTACAACATATAACGATTTAAGGAACTCTATATTAAAATAAAATGATTACATTAAATGACATTAAGAGCTTTTAAAATATTAATTTTATGATACATTTTCATGATAAATTTAATTTTTGCATATACTTGGCCAAAAAATGTACATTATTATGGTCAACTGCTCAGATACCTCCAGTCAATATGTGGCTGAGTCAGGCAACCAGACTTCTACCTCTGAAAAAATTAACCTATGATTTACATCAAAGATCTGATGAATCTATTTGGTCCTCATTGATTTAAAAAAATAAATAAATAATAATCTTCTTTTATTTTTGTCTTTACTTTGAAACATTTGTATTAATTTGTTAGAATGTCTAACAAAAAACTGCTGTACTTGTGAGATAACAGTGCCACTGTTGTTATGCAGAAAATAAAAATTAACTTTGTATAATGTTTTATTGAATGCAAGATAAAAAATAAAAAAATAAAATATTTTCCAAGAGATGGGTTGCGGCTAGAAGAGCATCTGCTGCATAAAAACATGCTGGAAAAGTTGGCGGTTCATAGAGCTGTGGCGACCCCTGGTTAATAAAGGGACTAAGCCAAAAAGTAAAATAAAATATGTATTTTTTGTAGACAGAACTTCACAGTGACTTATAAGTACAGAACAGAACTTTTTTCTAGTTTAGATAATTTAAAGGTTTGCATTTTTATTTTGTTGGTTATTGGCTATGTATTTTTAATCATTTGGAGGTTTGAACTATTCGCAGCATTTGAAAGGATATCTTTTCGTCATTGTTACCTCATTTCTCACTATTTTCATGATTCTTACAATGCAGCAAATCTTAAAATCATTTGATCATAAAGAAAATAATTATCAAACTAACCCACATGCAGGACAAAGACATTATGTGGAATCATTATTAAACACAAGTTCATCTATGGTCATCAAAACATACTGTTACACAAACAGTTGAAGATTTAGAAAGTAAAAATAATCAGATAAAGAGTGGTTTTTAAACAAATACATGTCTTTAAAAAGGTTTTATTTATAAACATTTACATATTTTAAAAGAGCTTTTATCCACATTTTAAATAAAGTGAAAACAATTAAATATCACATGATGATCATTAATGAAACACAATTACAGAATTACATCCACACATATTAAACTGAACTTATAATATTTGTGATGAACATAGATCACTATTGCTAATAACTTGTGATTAAAGAAGATACTAATGTTTAGCTTATTTTTACAGCTTTTTTTTTTTTTTTTTTTACCACAACAGTACATGTGACAATACAATTTCTTGTCCATGTTGAATATAATGCATCTACATAGGTTAACTGCCCTTTTACTCAAAGGGGATGACTAGAGCCCTGTAGAAAAGGAAAAAGTATTCACATTTCAAACGAAAAATGAGTGAGAGAATATCAGCAAGACTATTACCTATGCTATGTTCAATAAATAATGTTGGATATAATAGTCTGGTATATACTAATCAAGTCAATAAAAGCTGTTTAAAAAATACTCATTGTAAAATAACAAATTTATGCCTGGCTTTCATATATGTCATAAATATATGCACAATGACCTTATTCAGATAGTCTTTAGTTCATAAAAAATTGTATTTATTCCATTTTATTACAAAAAGGCTTTAAACTACATTACCCACAATCCTTTGTCGCTGTATAGATGGGACGGGAAAGACATGGCGCTACAAATTGTAGTTCATTGAAAGGTGTAGTTAGGGTTAAGTTTAGGGTTACGATCTTGGTTAATCGGTAACTATTTGAAACACAGCGATAACTCATTGATAAAGGACACTGTTAGTAAAGTGGCAAAGTTAGCAAAACATAGTTAGCAACACGAAGGATCTTTTAATTTGGCTTTGAAGTTATAGTCCAATCACAACGTCGCAATCTACGTCACACTTTGTCTCTATTTGGTAATCTTCCGCCTGAAGGTAGATTAATATAACCTTATAATATAACCTAAATATCAAAATGTGTATTAATATTACATGTTATTTATTGTCTTATTAAAAATACAAATGTATATTTACCGTGTGAGATTCCTTTGTGGGGGTAACCTGATGTGCAAAATTATCATAGTAAAACCAGATCATAGGCAGTATACTTAATTTGAAACGAATAATAAAATAATAAAAAAGCTTCATGTTTGAAAACATTTCCAGCATTTCATGTAACTAAACCCTGCATCCTCCAGGTATACAAATATAAATATATATCAAACTTAAATGACAAATATAGTGCCCATTAAATAGTATAAATAGTAGTTCATTGTAAATGAGTATGCAAATAAACACAATACATTTTTAATGAAACATTTATAATTTATTTATAATGCCACAAAAAAAAAATCACGCAAACATGCAAAAACATATATTTTATAACAGTTTTTAATGCAATAATATATTACCATACATATATAAATGATTAAAAACAATTATAATTGAAGGAAATGTATATTTTGTATTATTATTATATTTATTTTGTGATATTTATTCATGTCATACATCTGGTATGTCAAGCTCAAGTAAAACTGCACTGCAAAAAATCTTTTCAAATAATGCCTTTGGAAATGCCATTATAATAAACAGCTTTCACAACAAGAAGAAGTCAAGTTCATGACAAATGCAAATTATGTTTATAATAACAACTTTCTGAACTTAAACATCAAAAGTAGAATAAGTTCAAAACATATTCAAGTATTTACTGAAAAATAGCAAAAACAATTTTTACAAAACACTGAGAACCAAAGTGTGCTTGGTGAGTCCAGGTGTTTATGCTGACTAGACTGTCATATTGCAATCCGGTTAGCATGAGGAGACTTGGGCGTAAAGTGTCAGCAATTCCTGGAGGGCTCCCATGTGTTATTCCAGGTTTTGCCACTGTAAAGTATTAGAAGTGCACAATATCATTACTGAACAAAGAATGAGTGTTAGGTTTCATTTAGCAAGTTCAGTGATATTTATTTATATATGTAAAGTGTCATTAAACCTGGCACTCTTTAATTAACTGTATAATAGGTTAAACATTTCCAGCATGTTTCCATGTATTCCAAGAAGATCTGTCAGTTCTACAAACTCAGAGATCAGGATAGTGACTGCACTTCTCATTATGAACACCCTTATCCTTCGCATACATTTTTATCACCACTGATGTCCACTGCTGTAGTTTTCATTGAAGGGAATGCTGACACAAATTCCAGCAAGTTTTTTTTTAAATAGCAGAATATGGATATTATTGGGCCAAAACCTTAAAAAATATAAGATGCAAGATTAGAATCTTGATGAATATATTGTTAATTCACTTCTTGCAATTTAAAACACACATCTCATGTTTGACTCATCAATTATGTGAAAACTACAACAGCATACTGTGCTCCACCCTAAAAATATTTCTAAATTATAACAAGCTTATTGCTTTACATGGCTAAACATTTATTTTATGCCTGCATGATTCACTGCTATTACTGTAACCCATTACACTCTTAACCCAAACTAGTTGACTTTATTAGAAAACTGCATAGAAACATGTTGCCTTAAACCCTTTATGTTTTTACACAAGGTGAAACTAAACAGCCCACTTTAAATTAACCAATAACCTTTACAATCTTCTTGAACTTACAGTAATATTTTAATTCAAGTATGGCTGTTAAGTTGCACATTGTATAAAATGTAATGGGTTTAAGGCACTGGGTTTCTATACAATTTTCTAGTAAAGTCAACTAGATTGGGTTAAAGCAGTAGTTCACTATTTACTCTCCTTTAAGTGGTTGTAAACCTTTTTTAAAAACTTCCAAGTTACTTTGTGTTAAACATGAAGGAAGTTTTTTGAAGAAAGCTGAAAAGCTGAAAACATTGATATACATAGTAGGAAAAAACAAATACTATGGAAGTTAATGTTTGCAGGTTTTCATCTTTCTTTAAAATATAATTTTTTGTGTTTAACTGAAGAAAGCAACTCAGACATATTTGGAACAAGTGAAGGATGAGTCATTAATGACAGAATTTTCCTTTTTGGGTGAATCTCTTTAAGAGTATACTGAAAGAAATGTCCTACTCAATGTAGCTAACTTCAGCTGCATGTGTAGCCCCATAAGTACTTATCTAGAAATCAAAACAATAATCACGTCAGTCCCATTTTAGGCCTTTTATATCATATTGGCCACAGAATGGACTACTTAGTGTTGCAATAAAAAAATATATAATAATAAAATTATGACTTACCACACAATACAAGACAAACAGTGAATTTTCAGCTCTGCCTTTGCTGTACACAAGATGAGGTTCCAGCTTCAACACTGATCTTGAGTGGGGCAGTTGTGCAGCTCTGTGAGGTTGTGACTGTTCAAAGTACATTCTTTTAAAATCTGTACATAATAACAAAGAAAATACAATGATTTTAAATAATGATTAATTTTGAACAAAAACCTTACCCTTAGTCAAGATGAATTCATATGTCAAAAGTTTCTGCATCTGAAATGAATAAAAACAGATGTGACATTAGTTAAACCCACTAAACTACTAGATACATCAGTACTGCATTAAGCAGTTGTAAAGTAATGTAAGTGTAGTCCAAAATGAGCCTTAATCTCTTTAAGATAATGATTTAAAAAAAGTTGCTTGTGTTAAAAACAATCCAGCCACTTGTAATACATTTGATCAATGGTAAATTTCTGAGAAGGTGCAAGGTAATCCTTGAGTTTTACCATTACCATCCTGACTGACATAATATTGGACAAAGAAGACAGCTTGTTGTGCCTCTTTACCACAATTTAGAGATGATAGATTCTTTCTTTTATTAAATAAATTGGTAAAGGCCAAACTATACTGGTAATAGTGTAATATATTTATTGTGTGACATCCATCAGCTTAAGTTATACTTGAGCTTTTGTTATGCTATATATATATATATATATATATATATATATATATATATATATATATATATATATGTGTGTGTGTGTGTGTGTGTGTGTGTGTGTGTGTGTGTGTGTTTGTGTGTTTGTGTGTGTGTTTTAAGGCATGGAAAATAATTGTTTTAACAATGTAGCCTTTAAACCTTTGGAAACACTTGATGTTCTTTAATATTGAAACAATTACGAATACATTTGTATTATTAGAGTTGCATATTGCATATTATATATAGATTTTGCACGAATTCTATTGTGGAAAACAACAATCTGGTTACACTGTTCCTTATCTTAAAATGTATATATTGTTCTAATGCATGACCAACGTTATATGTGAGAAAAATATATTTTTAATAACTTGATGTAATTAGTTAACGTCACTAGTTTACAGTACATGCTTTATCAACAAATCGTCTTTATTTGTTTACTTTTTACTTACCTTGTGGAAAACGCAGTGAACCTTGGGATCGCAATGAACCTTGGGATAGCGAGCATAGACTGTAAAAAATAGATCGCCACATACAATGAACCCAACTTCAATGAATCATTTAAAATAAAAAAAATATCAGCCAAAAACATTTTTAAACTTAGTACCTGAAATGCAATATTTTTTAAAGTAAAAAAACAATAAATAATATGAATGAATCAAAGTTTTATTAGGCATAGTTACTCTAAACTGGGCAACCGAATATAATTTCACTCATTAAATATAAAGTAAATGATAACATATTTATAAACACCAACTAATCTCCAATAAAAATACATTATGAAGCATAAACATACTATTTAATGTTGACAGTTGAACTCATCTGTGAACTCACCGCTGATGCAGTTTGACCAATAGCAGAGCGGCGTTAAACTCACCGTGAAGGGATGTCACGTGGACCGAAGTTTATTCATACAGTAGTTTTGACCCAGTTTACAGACGCTTTTCATGAACAAAATAAAAATTACATATTTTAAAATAAGAAAACTAAGATAATAGGCGTAAATCAGGTTTTAAAAATTGCGTTGACATCTATTGGTAATTATACGAGCCTCCAGCGTCTCCCTATGACGCCTCAGGCTCAGGCACAGATTCAATAGGGAATCCCTGCACGTCTAAATATGACGCTAAAGGGGTACCCTGTTCGTCAATAACTTACGCCGAGGGTTCCTGACCAAGCGTCAGTATGTGACGAGTTGGGAGTGAGAACGTGTTGGGTGGAACGGGAGATTGGCATCATGGATGTGCAGCCGACAAATCTGCAGCAACTGTGTGATGCTATCATGACAATATGGAGCAAAATCTCTGAGGAATATTTCCAGTAGCTTGTTGAATCTCAGCCAGCAAGGATTAAGGCAGATCTGAAGGCAAAAGGGGTCCAACCCGGGACTAGTAAGGTGTACCTAATAAAGTGGCCAGTGAGTGTTTGTGATGTTTTGAGAATTTTATTTATGTTTTTATCAGGAAGTATGAACTATAATAAAAGAGTGTGGACTGGTGATTATACATTACTAATGAGTCTGGTTAGTATTTCTAAACTGAAATGCAAGTTGAAGCTAAAGTGTCTTTAATTTTAATGGCCTGTTTGAATGATTGATTAGTTTTTTTGTCTCATGCAGTTTATTTATTTTCAGCTTTTCTTTGTTTTAGTCAGTGTGTCTCTTGTTTTTCTGGACTGATTTGATTTCGTTTCTGCAGATCAGCAGCTTTTGGAGGACATCTTGATTGACAGCTGCTTCTGCCTCTCACAGCCAATGGTGAGTGGAGGGCGGGACTATGTGTGTGTGTGTGTGTGTGTGTGTGTGTGTGTGTGTGTGTGTGTGTGTGTGTGTGTGTGTGTGTGTGTTTGTGTGTGTGTGTGTGTCTGAGAGAAGTCCATAAATGACCAAAACGCCCCAGAATGCACTGCAGGTGGTAAATGTGACTGCTGATGGTTGTGGTGAAAACACTCACAACTGCATTTATTTTACACACATTCACACACTTATGCACGACACACACACACACACACACACACACTCACACACACACAGAGGAGGCTGAAATACAGCCGCTGTAAAGGATGAATCGTTTGTCCGCTGCTGGTTTGGCAGGTCGTTACTCTGAATCTTAAGAGAGACCATAAACTCTGAACACAATGAAGCCCAAACACACACTCTTACACACACACACACACACACACACCCACACACACACACATACAGAATGACCTCTAATGAGCTGATGCTAATGTTAATCAGCACATTAACACACACACACTCAAATCTAACGCTCAGATATTGCTCAAGAGACCTTCTAAATGTTTCAGTGTCAACTTAATCTCAGATAAAATAAATATGTCTGATTTTTTTCCTTCTAACACTAAAATATTTCATGTCTTGTGCATTTTTAACAATGTTATTAGTTTATCAAGGCTCATTTCCTGCTATTTTAAAAAGATACACACTACCTGACAGAAGTCTTGTGCTGGATCAGCTGTAAGAGCAGCAGATAATATCTGGTCTTCTAGTTGATGATGTGTAAAAGTGTCAGAAGGTGGATTTCTCTGCTGGATCATCTGCTCATCTGCATCACAATCATCACCAATACTGCAGAAGAATCAGCATGGACCAAGATTCTCACAGAAATCAGTCAAGTTTGGTGAAGGAGACATCATGGTTTGGGGTCATTCAGTATGGGGGCGTGTGAGAGATCTGCAACAGCCTGAGGTATCAAGACATCTGTGCTGCCCATTACATTACAAACCACAGGAGAGGGACAATTCTCCAGCAGGATAGCGCTCCTGCTCATACTTCAGCCTCCACATCAAAGCTCCTGAAGGTCAAGCTGCTGCAGGATTGGCCAGCCCAGTCACCAGACATCAACATTATTGAGCTGATGAAGGAGGAGGCGTTGAAGATGAACACAGAGACTCTTGATGAACTCTGGGAGTCCTGCAGGAAGGCTTTCTTCTTCATTCCAGATGACTTTATTAATCAGTGATGTGAGTCATGTCAGAGATGTATGGATGCAGTCCTCCAAGCTCATGATGGAGTCAGACACAATATTCATTCTGTCTCCACTGCAGCAGGACTTTATATTCTATACTGGACATTATTTCTGTTCAGTGATGACACTTTAGTCTGAGCAGAGTCAGACCGCACTGTCCTCATCAAATCAGTCAACATCAAGACATGATCAGATTTATTGAGCTCAAATCAGCAAAATCTAGAGGCCTTCACCTTTCATAGAGACACTTCTGACACCAGATCATCAACTAGAAGTCAAGATAGCATTTACTGTTCCTAAAACTTGAACAGGCATCAAGACTTTTGTCAGGTAGTGTATTGTTTCTTACATAGTCTCCAGAATGCGTCTGTGTTTCTGCGTGTCTCTTTAAATGCAAATGAGCTGCTGCTCCCCGCCCCTTTTTGCAGAAGAAGGCGGAGTCTAAACAGCTTATGATTCAGATACTCTCCAGACAAAACGTGTTATGTTTTAGTATGCCAATATAGTATTTATTTATTTATTTATTTATTTAATTAATTAATTAATTTGATTTAAGTAATGCCTTGTTGTTTTATGTGTGTTGTTTTAGTTTAATGTTTATTTTTCTGGGATACTCATATGACAAGTACTAGATATTAAGAAGCTTCCCTTTAAGTGTGTGTGTGTGTGTGTGTGTGTGTGTGTGTTTGTGTGTGTGTGTGTGTGTGATTCCTGTATTTATTGATCAGTTAGAGAGAGAAAGAGGGAGTTTGTGTGCGTGCAAATGTGTGTGTGTGTGTGTGTGCGCGTGTGTATGTGTATGTGCAAACGTGTGCTTGTGCATGCGTGTGTGCATGCCTGCATGTGCGTGCATGTGTTTATACGTGTGTGTATGCATGTGTCTATGTGACTGCGTGTGTGTGTGCAGTGTGCCTGTGTGTGTGTGTGTGTGTTGCTCTCTCTCTAATGGCACTCAGTCATTAGTTGTTCTGCTGAAGCCATCAGAGACTCAGTTACTGAGCGACACACACACACTGGAATCTCGCGGGTCTGAATCTGACCTTCACTGAGGACAAACAGCAGACGCAGAACAAACCCTTCAGCAGCCGCTCTGACAGACACACACCACCCCAAACTAAGACAAACTTAGCTGCATGTATATGGACATTTGTACAGACTGTAATGAGGGTGGTGGTAGTGACCTAATACTAACAATACAAACAACTAAATTATACAAAATAAAAGTACAACATTAAATTTTTTTACATTAACGATTAGTTTAGTTTTAGATATAAAATGACTAGAAAAATAGGATTGACAGGATTAATTGGTATTAGATTATATTAAATTAATTTGTATTATTGTATTATTGTTGTATACACCTTTAAACATTTCTCAAACATTGCATGACATTCAGAAGTGCTCAATATTCTTTATAGCGTCTTGTTAACCCTGAACTGTTTATTGTGTGTGTGTGTGTATGTGTGTGTGTGTGTGTGTGTGTGTGTGTGTGTGTGTGTGCGTGTGCAGCCGGACAGCAGCATGAGTCTGGTGGTCGTCCTGCTCACAGATTTACTGGACCGGAAGTTCCTCCCACGTCGGCAATCAACCAATCAGAAGGCAGTGAAGGCGGTCCGTGAGGTGGAGGCATGTCTGCTGAGGTCAGAGGTCACACTCACTGTAACGTTGTTTAGAGTGTATCGAGTGTGTACTGAGCATAATATGCACATTTTGCTTATGCAGTATATATTATCATATTATTTATAACGCAGGCTCCAGTCAGCTGAATGATCTACACTGATGTGTTTTATTTTAAGATGACTTCAAATGTCTGTATATTATTAAATGATGAGTAATATGTTTATAATAGTGCTGGGAGAAGATAGTAGCGGTTTGTTTTGACATGATAAATGTGTGTATATTATATATTATGTATATATATGACACACACACACACATAGAAACAAACTATTTTGTTGCATGGATATCTAAAAGTATTGTAACTTGTATCATATATGCGTATATATTTAATATGTGAATATAGTTTAACAGTTTCTCAGATATATGCATGCATGTGTGTATTTATATACAGTGTTGCCAGATTGGGCGGTTTCCTTACGGTTTGTGTCTGATTTTGTGACTGTTGTCCACTCCCCTTTTTTTTCCCTGCTCTGCTGGCCACGCCCCCTCCTCCCTCTGCTCGCAGCGCTCCACGCCCACCATGGAGCATTCTTTGAACAAATGTTGAGGTAGACTTGAACCAAAAGAGGGGGGTTTCTTTGCTCTTTAATGAAAAACTCACTTTATTTTGACTCATTATTTCTGAAAGCAACACAATGGGCTCTATTTTGACGGTCCATGCGCAGAGCGCAAAACGCAGGGTGCAAAAGCGTTCAGGGCGTGTCAGGACGCGTTTTTGCTAATTTAAGGACGGAAAATCTACCTTGCGCCATGGCGCATGGTCTGAAAGGGTTGAGTTTATTTTCTTAATGAGTTATAGGTGTGTTTTGAGAATAAACCAATTAGAATCTCATCTCCCATTCCCTTTAAGAGTCAGCTGCATCACGCCAAAAGCGCATTCGCTATTTACAGGACGCAAAGTAAGTCTAAGTGGTAAAACTGAGCATTTCACTAGCAAACAGTTACAGTTTTTTAACAGAAAACTGTTAAACAGAGCATCTACTGTGTGAGAATGAGAGATAATGGATCTACTTTCACTTTCGCTCTTGGATAGGGAAACCTTTACGCACAGACATCAATTAGTCTATAAATAAATAATTTTGTTTGTTAAGCGCAAATATTCGTTTCAAAACTATTTCTAAATTCAGTTCTAATTTCCAGCAAACTAATAAATGAACAATAATAACAAAATTAGCTCAAAAACCTGAGTTATATCCTAAAACACATGCTGTGCCCCATATGATCTAAAACCTGACAGGTGGACAAATCTAAGCTTGTTTTTAATAAAACAAATATAAATATGGATATAATAAATAATACTGCTAATAATAATAACATTATACAAAAGCAAATTGTTATGAATGAACTGAAAAAGCCTCCCGAGATGAAGAAGACATAAAAGCAGTGATTTTTCATATTTATGTAGGCTAGAAAATAATATGTTTTGTAATATTTTAATCCTTTATATTTATATCCTATATCTATTCTTATTATATCCTATATATATCCTTAATATTTTAATGTTTTCATATGTAAAGATATTTGCCTATTGCTCTCTTGTGTGTATTAAGCAGTGTGTAAGCGAGGCGCAACTCTGCACAGAAGTTTAGACCGGGTTAGTTTTGATCTAATGAAAAATCTATTATAGTTTCTCAAAATAGCAACGCGCCAGCAGTCCGCCTCAGAACGCCTTCCTTTTTAGACCAGAACACCTATGGGCGCACATATGAGCGCTAATGCATTTGCTATTTCAACAGCGTAGCGCAACGCCTCAAAACCACTCTTGCGCCAAGCTGAAACTACCAAACAAGTATTGTGCCGCGCATTGTGCCACACTGCGCCGGGTGTATGATAGGGTCCAATATGTAGAAAATGCTTCTTGATTTAAGAATTTTCAGATATTTGGACTAGAAACTCTTAAGATATTTATTTTGCAGTGTATATCAGAGAGCTGGATATCTCAGTAAAACACTGAGAACTGCTGATGTAGGAAATATACATATAAATCAGTCCATCACTAAAGTGGATGCAGATGCGAAACAACTGTCTTTATTTATGAGATGACAACTGGACGCCACTCACTGAATTAAACATGAA